GTAACTTTCCTAAGGGCTGACAGACCTCCAGCAGCCAGTCTCAGAAATCATCTATACTGGTGAGCCGAGATGGAATTTTTTTCTTTAGCACTCCCAGAAACAAAGGAACGTTGGGATTTCCAGCAATCAGCTTGTCTCAGGAAGCACTTACATTCAGCCTCTGTGGAAAATGAACACAATTCCAGCCCCTAAGCTTTGCCCAAGACTTGGAGGGAGGCATATGCACTCAGTCCTACAAATGAGGGGACATTGGCCTGCATGGGAAGATGAGTGGGATGCTGTACTGGAGACACCACATCTCACTAGTGGGAGAGAAAGTCACTCAAGTCCAAGGGGTCAATTTCAGGCATTTGGTGCCCAAATGAGAAGATCTTGGGGATGCATGCATGTCTGGGCAAGGGAGGGATGTTGAGCTGGGGCAGAGGATGTGGCAGGAAGGAGAGGGAAGATTGCAGAGCTAACTAGAGGGTAGAGGCAGCTGATGAATGCTTTGATGTGGTGGTAAAGAAAGGGAGGGGCCTGAGATGTCCCGGGTCTCTGACTGAAGACTGCCTGAGTAGAGAATGGCACAGGAGCTGGGGGGTGGGAGGGTGGGTGGAGATGGGGACGATTCAAGGCTGGAGAGTTTGTGGACCCTGAAGCACCATGATGATGTCTGGAGAGAACAGACTTTACAGATTAGGAGGAACTTGGCCTGAGTCATGGGTATACAGACTCTGGAAACCATTGGAAAGGTAAGATTGCCAAGGAAGGGGAGTTCTGCCCCACCCCATCCAGCCCTGAGGAGTGGCCAGAAGCTCTGGGGACAGTGTGCAAAGATTTCTCCTGAGGGGCTGCCTGGCGCCAGACCTATTAAACCAACTGGACATAGGGGCAACTTATTTCATTTTAAAAAGCCCAACAGCCAGGCACAGGTGGCTTACACCTTAATTCTAGCTACTCAGGAGGCAGAAATCAGGAGGATAATGGTTCAAAGCCAGTCTAGGCAAACAGTTCATGAGACCCTATCTCTCAAAAAAAAAAAAAGAAAAGAAAAAAGAAGAAGCCTAACAAACTCAACAAAATTGCACAAAGGTGTGGGTACATCTTTTTCTTTTTTGGCTACCATCACAGGAAGCGGACACTGTTTTACAGGGAGCAGAGATGACCAGCTGCTCCATGAGGTCCACTTTAGACATCCTAGGAATTTGGAGTTGGGTCTTGGTGGGTTTGCTAAGGAAGGACCACCTGGAATTGCTGAGGAAGGAGGCAAGCTGTCCCATAAGTGGACCTTCCTAAGAGCTGTGGGGACTTGGGCTGGGGAAGAGGCCTCCAGGTGTCTTCTGGAGAAGCAACAGGGGTTCCCAGGGAGTCCCCTGTGGCCCTTGACTTTAACCCAGTTTTCCTCCCCCAGGGACTTGGTCCTAGGGTTTCATTGTTGACACCATGGCCAACGCTAGCTGGAAGCTTCAGCCTCTTTAAGGGCCACCCCTCGCCCCCTTAATTCTGTGAGCCAGGCAGGGTCAGGTTGGACTCTACGGAAGGAAAGTGACATAGAAGGAATAAAGTCCTGGAGGCCAGAGATACCAAGAGTGGGGGTCTACAAGGCCCGGCCAGGGCTACAGATTGAGTTCCTCAGATGATAGGAAGTGAAGAATGTCCAGATCAGATTAGAGAAGGCACTGAACACAGACCCCACAGCGTGCTAGAACTGGCCGTCCCCGGGTTTCTTGCAGGATTTATATACGTATTAAGGAATTCTGCTCACTCTGTGTAAGCACAAAGTCACACTGGATGGACATCTCTCACCAGGTAGGGTGCCTGGAACTATGTGACATTCTCATTTGGAAAGGCAGACAGACAAGTTGTGGGGACAGAGGATGGATGCCCAGAGCTTGTCCCAGGAATCCCCCTGCCCCTGCCAGTGCTGGCTCAGAATGGGCATGTCACTCAGCCTTGGCTTTCTGACCACAGTAGTCAGCTGGCACTTCTGCAGGGATAGCAAGAATCCTGGGCTTTGGTCATTCTTCTATCTGGTCAGGACAAAGATGATACCCAGGTGGCAGGGCCCTTGATGCCACCCCTGCAGATTTCCTGGTAGGTGAGATATGGTATTTGCTTAGGCGCATCTTAAAGGACCCAGAGGCCTTCTGAGCTAGAGGGCCAGACCCAATGGTTTCCCTGGCCCCGATGGTAGGTCAGATACCTGTAAGCGTAAAGATCTAAGTCATGGCCCACATGGGCCCATGAGTGTCACTCCCTGCTATACTCAGATATCTCCTCTAGAAGACTTCTCTATTCTTTGCTAGGTTGAGCATATATGCAGTGCAGTCACAAGTGGGCATTGGGCTATATCCTCCCCTGGGCCATTATTACATAGGTTGAGTCTGGGCCTCCATCTTGTGTCTCCATGTAGAAGTGTTGACTGAGCCTGGATCCCTAAGCTTCTAAACTTCAAGCCCTCTGTCTTTCACTTGCAGGCAAAACTGGTCCCAATGGTGATGGGACACCTCTGTATGGAACATGGAAATAAAGAAAATGCTGTCTGAACACCACCCACATTGCCTCTTTTGCCTGACACAGCTCCCTGTCAGTGTGTGTTTGTGGGGATGGTTCAAGAAACAGCAAGAATGACAGTCCCCAAAGGCCACCAGCCACCACTTTCTGTTCAATCAGCGTTTCCCTGACATATTGCTTACCAAGGCCACTCCTGGCCAGAACTCCGCCAGCACATCTGACGGGGCCACTGCATCTGCTGTTTGCCAACAGTGGACTTGGCCAGAGCTGCTGTTCTCCCAGGCCCCATGACAAGGTCACTAACTCTTCACGTTGGGTATGCTCTGCACATGGATCCCAAAGGGACTGGGAGAATCTGCATCCTTCCCCACAGTCCACTGCTCCCATCTGTTTGGAAGACCCTACCAAGGAAGGTGACCTTGAAATAGGGACAGAACACCAGGGGGGTTAGTTTCTGTGTGGGCACAAGGGACAGGCATGGCTCTCAAAGGGCTCCTGTTTGAAGTCTGTGCTGGCATGTGTGACCTAGAGGTCAGGGGCAGAGCGGGGAGCCCTGGCTCTCTTCTGCAGAATAACACAGGACATCCCTCCCATTGAGAGCTAGGCAACTTTCTCCTTTCTTAATGGCCTCTCCAAGGTCTGTGGGGGTGATTCCTGATGTCCAGATGAGTGCCTGGGAAAGGTCCCCATCTCCTTTGGTACCTCACATCCTTGGGAAGAAAGTAAGGGGGTTGGGTTTAGAGGACCTGAGTTGACCTTGGACTGTCCTCCTTCTTCCTCTGAAACACAGGGCTGTTCTAGATCAGGGCTGCAATGCAGTGCTTTCAGGGACCAGGCTAGCAATGATCGCCAGTAATAGGCAGGGGTAAGACAATAGGGAGTGGTGGGGACTGTGTTAAGGGGGAAGAGTGCAAGGCAGACCTGAGGACATTTAAGTTGGAATGAAAAAACATCCATGGCATGCACCAGCTGAGTTGGCTCCACTGGTTGGTCTTTAGTTTTGGTCTTTGGGATCTAAACTGAGTAAGTAGACCAACGAGAACTGCTGGAAATTTCTGTGACCCATATTTTACCTGGGGGAGGAGGAGGGAGAGGCAAACGCACCAGTGGGTGGGGTAACATTTCCCAGAGGTGAGGAGGGATTTAAAGCACGGAGCTTTGAAGAGTTATTTATTTATCTTTTTAGAGCTTTGAAGAGTTATTTATTTATCTTTTTAAAGCAGAGGACAGGTGATTAGGAAGCCGGGACATGTCTACACTTCCCTCCCCCCATGAAGAGTTGAATTTTAGAATTTATTTTGGTGGTACTAGGGCAGAACTTAGGCACGCTTTACCACTGAGTCACGCCCCCAGCCCTGTCTGTTTGTTTGTTTGCTTTTTTAATTTTAAATTTTGATGTGCAGATGCCTGATTCACTCACTGCATCTTGTTGATATCATTTTGGGGACTAGTGAGTGGGATGGTGAAGGATGCTGGTGTGCTTCCACTGACCTGCTGGACAATTCTGAGCTCTGCCTGGATGGAGCTCTAAGAGGCCAGGGGCGAGGCAGGGAGAAACAGCTGCCAGGAGTGTCAAAGACACAAATCTTCTTTCCAAAAAAATATCTCCTAGAGCAAGTGTCCCAGAGTGTACTAGACACTGCAGTTTTATGGGCCTGTCAGAAGCTATCGTCCACTCACAAAGGGATAGAGTTTATTCTTCTCAATTCTTTCATCCTTCTGATTACATCAAAAAGAAGATTTCCATTTGGGCCAGTGTGGCTCAACACTTTTGTGACACTTGCTAAGCTGCTTCAGCCTCAGTGTCTTTTGTAGGTAGTAGTAGCTAGGAACTGATAACGTTATTCTTCTTTTCTTTTTGTGTTTACTTTGGGGCATTTATCTTTGATTTGTGGTGGGGTGGTGAGATGTTGGCTTTTCCATGGATGGTAGTGGTTTAAATTATCCTTTACATTTTTAGTAAATTGTTAAGTGCTACATAAAGAAACAGCACAGGACATGGCAGGAAAATATGTAACCCTTCAGGGAAGTGATTGAGGTGGTAGAATGTGACCCTTGAAGTAGGGAAGGCTGCTGGTTGGGCTACATTTGTCTTTTGAGGAGAATGGAAGCCAGACAGTCCCAAGGGAATGCAGGAGTAGGTTCTAGAAAGGCACCCAGCAGAACCCAACTCTGGGCTGCCTGGCTCCCCCAGCCTTCAGGATCAGCTAATGTCTCTTCTTATGGGAAGTCCTCCAAGATGCCTGGCTCTAGAGTCATCTCTCCTTACACACTAGGATTCCAACTCCAACTTTGTCCAGAACCATCTAGGTCACCCGAGTCACAGCTTCACTGGGTTGGGGGCAGGGTCTTTTGCAAACTGCCAGGCAAGTGTCTCATTTAATTGTGGTTAAGCAGGAATGTAGGCTCAGAGTGTGCCAACACCTGCTTTCTCAAGAAAAGTTAGAAATCTTTCCTTCATGTGAACTCTTACCATTTAAAAATCTTGACAACAAATGTTCACTATGCCTGAGGGCCGGATCCAGTCTCAGGCACCCTCAGGTAACACAGAGAAAACATTCTTGGTGAAGATGGTTGTCAAGTTGCAGTGGCCTCACACCCAGGTCCTAGAAATGACAGAACTGAGGGCAGAAAAATCACAGCTAGAGCCAGTCCTGCAGGTTATGTGTTTCCCCATAAGACTGGGCCCTCCTGGCCTGCAGGGAGGGGCCTGAGTCATCTCTGGGTCCTCTGTCCCTGGCCACACAGCACAGGCGTGTCTACTCTGGAAGAGTTGGAGATTATATTAAAGAGATGTTCCAACAGACACAAGCCCGAGGGGGATGTCCAGGAGGGACTGGGAAGGAGTGACTGCCCTTGGGGACAGCAGGCCTGGTAGGACAGTGACTCCAGAAAATGGGAGGTCTAGGACCTTGCTGGAGAGGAAGGCTGCCTTTGGCAATGGGTGCTAACAGAACACTTGACCAGGATGAATGTCTCAGACCTCGAATGTTCCTTTGGAAAAGTAGGCGTGTGTGGAGAGGCCATTTCAGATGGGGGGCTGGGGACTGCCAGGGCAGGGAGGCCCATGGAAGACAGGTGAGAGCAGGAACCTGACTGCTGGAGGGGAACCCAAGTCTGGCAGGAAGAGGCTGTACCCCGAGGTTCCAAGGGAGGGATGGGGAAAGGGACAGAGAGGGGTTAGGGACTGAGGGAGACTCGTCTTTTGGGATGAGGGCAAAAGTTGATCTTTAGGGTAGCGCTGGGAGTGAACCCTCCTGAGACAGCATCTACCATCTTTGGGGTCTCCCTCTGGGCACTGGGCAAGCCTCAGACCTCAGGACCCAGCACTTAGCTTTTTCTCTGTCCTCTTTTCATTTCCGTGTCTAGTTCTGCTAGGAGGCACAGAAAAAGAGGGTGGGGCGGCCCCTTGAGTCCTGGACTGACGAAGGGGACCTGGGCACCTCGAGGGTTCTCTAGGTGAGGGTGCTTCGGTCGTGCCACTCCTTCGAGGTGGTGCGCCACGAGGGCGCAGAGCGCGCGGAGGGTGGCGGGCGGCGGAGCTCCCCCAGATCGGCCCGCAGCGCTTCTCTACCGCCGCCTCGGGGTGTCTCTGCTTCGCTGCGAGCGGGGAACCGCGGCGGCGGCAGCGCCAAGAAGCGCCGGGTCACCGCAGGCTGAGGCGCCCGCCGTCCCCGCCCTCCCCCTCGCTCGCCTTCTCCCTCCCTCCCGCTCCCTCGCTCGCTCGCTCCTTCCCTCTCCCCGCCTTCCCTCCGCGCTCCCCCCGCCCTCTCCTCCGCGCCTCGCCTCCTCCGCCCCGCGCCCTGCGGTGCTGCAGCTGCGGGCGGCTCCAGCTGCCCCCAGATGTGGGCTGGGCGGCGCGCGGGGAACTTTCGCGCCGGCTGCGAGTGCGGGGCCCCGGCTGCGGTCCGGCTGCCATGGATCCGCCGGCGGGAGCCGCTCGCCGCCTGCTCTGCCCCGCGCTGCTGCTGCTGCTGCTGCTGCCGCCGCCGCTCCTGCTGCTGCTGCCGCCCGCGAACGCCCGGCTTGCCGTCGCCGCCGGCCCCCCAGGTAGGTGCGGCTCGGCTCCCACGCCCCGCGACCCCCGTCGGTCCGGCCCTGCCCCTCGTGCCCCGCCGCCCCCCTCCCCAAGCGTCGTCCAGCCCTACTTGGGCAAACTCCGCGCGCCCCGCCCGGGGCCAAGTTGGCCAACTTCGGGGCCGGGTTGGTCGCACAGGGGGCGCCCGGGATCGGGGGGGAGCCTGGAGCGCTCGCGGCTCCCAAGACGCGGAGCGTGGAGACCTCAGGCCGGGAAAGCCCCGCGGCGGAGAGCGCAGAGCTAGCTCCAGCGGGTCCAGGGGAGCCAGGGCGAGGCGGCGCCGGTGCTCGCGTCCGGGGACGCTCAGAAGGAGCTGGTGCGGAGCGCACCGCTGTGGGCCCTGAAGATTGGTTGGGGCGCCCTGGAGGGGATCCCCGGAGATCGGTGGGACCCTGCTCCACCCCTCCCCGTCCTTAGGCGCGCGGGGAGAGGACGCTGGCAGCAGGCTGATCGGGAGCTGGACACAGAGGACAGGCCGCCTGTGCTCGGGGGGAGCCGAGTCCTCACTGCTCCGGAGGCCAGCGGTGAGGGCAATCGGGCAGCAGGGGCCGCCGAGGTGTTGAGGTGCAAGGTTAGGGGACCAGCCGAGCCACATGTCCTGCCCAAGGATGGTAGGCTTAAGGGGCGGGGACGCTCTTACGAGGTCGTTCCCAGGGGGACTGCGAGGTGCCCCGGAGCCCAACCTGGAGCAGGGCAGGGGGCAGAGCTCTTAGTTGGCATTGCCCTCGAGGAGGACGGCCCGGGGGCGGCGCGGCTCCGGAGTGGTGGTCCAGTTAACGCCCCTTCCCGTTTGCAAGAAAGACAGGGTGGTGCAAGCTAGCTTCTGGGGCTTCCTGGAGGAATGCCCCTTCTCTTCGCAGTGAGGCGAGGGCTGGGGGAGGCAGGGCTCAGTGGCCCGGCTCTGAGACTCCGAAGGTCTCCGTCAGTCTAACGTCCCTTCCCATTGCAGGCGGGCCCCTGGGGCACGGAGCCGAGCGCATCCTGGCGGTGCCGGTGCGCACTGACGCCCAGGGCCGCTTGGTGTCCCACGTGGTGTCGGCGACGGCCAGGGCGGGGGGACGAACCCGCAGGGCCGCCCCAGTCCAGACTTCAGGCTTCCCCGGAGACATTGAGGAGGACCCTGGCAGCCGCCTCTTCTACAATGTCACGGTCTTCGGCCGAGACCTGCACCTGCGGCTGCGGCCCAACGCCCGCCTCGTAGCTCCTGGAGCCACTGTGGAGTGGCAGAGTGAGACGGGTGCTACCCGCGTAGAGCCTTTGCTTGGGACCTGCCTCTACGTTGGGGACGTGGCCGGCTTAACTACACCCTCCTCTGTGGCACTCAGCAATTGCGATGGCCTGGTGAGTATTCTCTCCTTTCCCTTACTGCTTTCCGTTCTGGCCCTTACTTGGGCACGGGAAGCTGGTGACCTGGTCCAAGGCCTACGACCAAGGACCTTCTGTGCCTTCCCAGTGCTGTGGGAGGCACTGGCACGACTGAAGGGGTTGGTTGGAAGGCAAGTCATTTGGATTGGTTTGAGAAGGGGGCAATTTATGCAAGCCCTGTCCCCAGTCCCAAAACTCTTACCAATTATCTCCCATGTTCATGTTTACACCTTGCGTGCAGGTGTAGGTTGGTATGTGTGCGTGTGTCTCTTTGGTGTGCATGCATTTGCACGTATGTTTCTGATGTCTGTGTATGTGTTTCTGGGTGCCAATGAACACGTGAGGGTGCCTCTGTCTGTCCAGTTTCCACTCACTTGTGCTCACGTTTGTTGTGTGTGTGTACCTGTGCATCTTAACATGTGTGCCATGTGTGTGATTGGCATGTATACTGGCTTCAGGTGATGCCAGCCTAGACAGCAGTGATGCTAAAATGTCTTGTTAAGTCTTCTGCCCCTTGGCTGACCGGAGCTGCTTATTTCTATACTGTGGTTTCCTGTTGAACTCCAGTTGGTTATTTGAAAAAACAGTTTTCTCCCTGTATTTTGAGCCAAGGGGAGCATTTGGCAGTGAAGGCTCTGGTACTCATGGCTGGTTTTTGGGGGTGGGGAGCAGCTCCTGCAGGACAGGAGAAAGACTGGACCCCAGGACCCTGAGAAGTTCACCTGCTTCCAGGGACCCCAAGAGACCATAGCTCTGCACGAGGGAGCTGTGTGTGGAGAAAGCCTGGATCGATGCTCAGGGAAGAGCTGACATTGGCGGTGCTGCCCAGCTGCTGGGGGCCTGGCACACTGGCAGAAGCCACTGCAGTTTTCTATTTTGGATTGGGTGTGCGGTGGTCAGGTTGGCTGTGTTGGCCAGACATCTGAAGCCGCCCACCGTGGGTTCCTGCTCTAATTGCTGCTCAAGGTAATCCTGCCCCAGGCAAGTGGCCACTCTCCCAGCCCTGCCGGCCCCTGAGCAAGCCAGTCCTCAGGCAGCCCAGGCGGGTCCTACTGTCTGCAGAGCCAGCAATTATACCCAAGCCCCACAACCGCTGGTGTTCTTTTTATGGACACACAGGAAACATCACTTGTTGCTTCAGAAAATCACTGCCTTTGGTTGGATTTAGTTAGAACCCGGGCATATTGCAAACAACTGTAAATGTCCTTGCAGGGGTTGGGTTCAAATAGGGTGACTCTTTATATTCTCTGTCCTTTCTGAGTACATCTTGGTCCTCATAGGTGTGTGTCATTTTATGCTGCTGCTGAATTTCCTAAAAATGGAAGGAGATCAGTGCTAGGGACTTGGGACAAGGTGAGTGGGGGAGTGGACACGGATGTAGCCTGCATACTAATTAGTTCTTGATGGAGAGCATGGGGAGGGGGCTTTGTCACTGTGTCACTCATTCATCTGATCATTTGATAATTCATTTATTCAGCCAGCAACTTTCAATATGTTTATCCTTGTACTGGTCAGAGATGTGGCAGGCCCTGTACCAACTGGCAGATGGGGGAAAGGAGTTGTTGACAGGCTGCAGGGCAGTCTTGCCAGGATTTGAGAATCATTCTTGGGGGGCTATTTGAACGGGGTCTTAGAGAACCAGATGGTAACTGGAGAAGGTGCAGGTTGGCAGTTGGACAGAGAGAGGAGTTTGTGCTGAGGTACAAGTATGAAACAGCCTGGGCAGGACAGGCACTCCGAGATGTCACAGCATTGGGCATCCACAGGCAGAGGTACAAGATGGAGCTAGAAAGAATACTGGGGCCTGCCTGGTGGCCTTGAAGGCTGTCAGTGAGTAATGGCCTTGAGACAGTGGGTCGGCACTGTTCCTACTTCTTTTTTTTCCTTCCTTTCCTGTGTGTGTGTGTGTGTGTGTGTGTGTGTGTGTGTGTACCTATTTTGATTTAATAACAATTAGTTCCTCAGCACTTTTAAGTCACTCTGTGCCTTCATGAAAGCCTACTCACTTAAGGACCTGGAGCTTTACACTTGGTGTCTCTGGTCCCCCCAGTGACCTTGGAGGGAAGGTAACCTCACCCTTAGTTTACAGATGGAAGCTCTGAGGAGAAGTTGAGTAACTTGCCATAGGCCACATGGCCAGTGAGGGTGGGGTGTGGCCTGGTTCTTTCTGGCCTCTTCTGTCACAGTGCTTCTAAGTCTGGGGAAGTGGAGGATGATAAGACTTAATAAAAGAAGCAAATTATGCATGTGTACTTCCCTCAAGAGACCTTATGTGAATAAATGCATCTAATCCGCCCAGCAGCCTGTGCCTGTGCCTTTCCCCGGGATGCTCCACAGAGCCCTTTCCTCCACACTCATGCTTTTCCTGGCTAGCGACCTAAATGCACCAAAGCAGGGGAGGCAGGCGGTGCTGGGCACACAGCTCCCCAGGGCTCCTTTAATACAGGTTCATCTCAGCAGTGCTGGGGAAGGCCTGGGTTTTGCATTTCTTGTAAGCGCCCAGGCTGGTATTCCTGGTCCTGGGACCACTGATTGAGAAGCAAGGCATGACAGCCCCATTTATTCAAGAACAATCTGCAGAGCTGTACCACTCATTGCTCTGAGCAGGCAGGGTTCAGTGGACAAAGCAGTATGGAAAGGTTGGTGGCTTCACCCACCCTGGGAGAGTCAAGGAGTCTGTCAGGATCCCTGAGAAGTTCAGAAATAAAGAAGTCTTGCTAACTCTGTGTATTCCAGCAATTGCCACACAGAACCTGTTCTTTGGAGAACATGTGAAAATGATGCTCCCAGGCAAATGTGTGGACATACCATAGTTGAACAGAGTGTGCAGTGTTATAGCAGGCAGCTGAGTATCTCTCCCCAAATTTTGTCCTGCTCCTGTTCTGGGACACATGTTTGCTCATCTGCTTGTCTGATCCTAAAGTCATATGAGCATATTTTTCTGCTTTAAAGGAAGGCACTTTGTAAATCTGATTACTGTAGACAACCGTCTCCTAATCTGTTTAGTACAAAGGGACTCTAATATAATCTGCCAGGGTAGCTATCAGTCAGGTTCCTTTCAGTTACAAGTGACGGAAGATTCAAGTCAAATAGGTTTAAAGAGGAAGGGGGAACTTATTAGCTTATGTAGCGAGAAGTCTTCAGGCATGGCTGGATCCAGGCTCCCACCAGTTTATTAGGACCTTTGCTGCCTCTTGCTTCTGCCTTCTTGTGTGCTGGCTTTGTTCTCAGATGGAGCCCCTTTGTGGTGAATTAAGGGACCCCAGCAGTGCCAAGCTATCCTTTTTCTGCTAATTCCAAGTGAGTTCTGTGTACCACTCTGTCTACACTGGGGTAGGGTGGTCCCATAAGAGTCAGAGTTATGGGGTTTGCAAAATCTCATAGAATTGAAAGCATAGGAGACACTGTTCCCCAAAGTGATCTGAGATTGTTTTTCGCTAGAAAGGTCCAAATTCTAGTGGAGTCAGGTAGAAGTGCAGGATATAGCATATGAAGGTGTGTCATCAGATATGTTGCATATCTAATTTCCAGAGAGGCTGGTCAATGTAGAGGGTCCCGTGTCTTCCAGTGCATAATATTTACTAGGAGTGTTACAATTTGTCTTTTCTCATTGGGTGAGAAGAAAGTGCTTAGGGAGGCATTCTTGTGTATCACATGGCGACAGAAGGATTTTCTGGTACCTCTTGGACTATGTGGTAGTGCTAAGTTCACATCATTTTTACATGTTCAATAAAAAACAACCAAGAACTCTGTACAAATAGTAATAATGGTAAGGGACAATTTGCTGTGACCCTACTACGTGCCAGGGTCCCTGCTGGGCATGTACTGTCATGTGGCCTTGGTTCATCCTCATATCTCCTGATGGAGCCTGTGCTGATATTATCTCCATTCTACAGATGAATAAACTGAGGCTCCAAAGCCAAGAGAGCTTGCTTCTCTCTTGGCAGCCGGGATTTGAATGTGTACCTATCTGATTCTAGGCCATGCCCACTATATTTTATTTATTTATTTATTTTTGGGCATGCTAACAAAAAGAATAAAAAGAAAAACTGCACTTCTGTAAAACATTTCTAATCTTTCCTACTTTAATTTCCAAAGACCTTCTCAGTCAGGAGCGCTGAACACCATCTGTGTGAGTTCTAGGGAGCTAGCAGAAGTTCTGGTGACCAAGTGGCCTGTTAACTGCCCAGTGACCTGCTCTCAGCTGCAACTCCTTGTGGGTGTCCTAACTTCTCACTGGTGGGTGATCAAAGTGGAGACTCCAGGAGGACGAAAGTGACCCTGTTTCATCCTTTCCTCCCGTCTCAGTGTAGCACTGGGGACCTCCCTGGCCTGGTGTCCGTAGCTGAGCAGGACCAGTGATAGAAGCCTGCAGTGGAAAGGGACGAACCTCCCCAGTCTAAGGGCTGGAGCCTCCACTATAGGGCTGAAGCTCAGAGAGGCCCAGGTTTCATGGCCAGAAGGAAGGCCCCACTGTGGTCCCATGGCCTGGGGCTCCCCTGCTGGAATGCCATCCTAGCCAGGCCCCTGCTCTGTCCAATCTTGCTGGGCATTAGAAATTAACAGAATCCGTAGAGAGAAGTCATAAGTTGACTCAAGGGACTGAGATGAGTCTTTAAGGCCACACGCTGGACTCGAGCTAGATCAGGTGCTACAGTGGGGGTGGGGGGCAGGCAGGTATGGGAGGGCCCTAGGACTGTGGAGCTGGGGATGCAGGTTGCCTGACATCCCATCCTGCCTTGGCACTGCCTGTAGAGCAATGTGAGGGAGTCAGAAACACCAAAGACGGCTGCAGGAACTTTTGGGTTTCCTGAGTATCTGAGCTTCTCAGGTCAGAGCAGAGGCATCTGCCTGTTCCCTACTGTGAGTAACCTCCCCAGCCGCCTAGGATGGTTTCAGGCTCCTCCTCAGCTTGTTATCTTTGCTAAGACTTGCTGAATTTAACTGACAGAAACCCAGCTCACATTGGATGAAAC